AAAGAAAAAAAAAAAAAAAAAAAAAAAAAAAAAGGCTGGCGGTGACGGATCACTTATCAAGGGTCTGTTTGTTGATTACTACGGAGTGCGTAGATTTACACCAAACACACTACGATCTGCAGGCAGAACCGGAGCTGCAACTAGTCTCCACGGGCGTCCAGCCAACGAGAGGTAGCTGAAAGTAGAATTGACTTGATCAAACGGTGAAAGAATTGGAGCCTTCTTGCAGCCGGGGGGTGGGTGTTGTGTTGTAGGCGCACCAGAGACAGCTTCATCACCACACAGTTGCCACACAACAGCCACACACCACCAACGCAAGCCCACCAAATTTTTCTTTGTACGGAGCAATATCAAACGACCCGACCAGCTTGGTTGCTACAATGGCAGGGCTGATGTCACTGGATCCGCCAAATCCCTGCAGGGCCACTTGTAGAGGCGAAAGAAAAAAGAGAGAGAGACGCAAAGAAGAGGAGCGAGGGCGTCGACTGGCCAATTTGGCTACAGCCTCGCTTTGGAACCGCCATGGCGTTCTCCACTACGGCAAAAAAGCTGTCGGCCAGCGCTTCTTGTCGGCTTCGAGTTAGGAAATGCGGGGAGTCGAACACAATTTGAAAGAGAACGATTTTTTTTTTCCGTGCTCGAGATGCTGCCCTACGCGAGCCCAGTCTCCCTCTGATTGGCATCTGCACCTTCCTGGGTCTCCGAATTTTCTGAGGCGCTCCTTCCTAGATCGCTTCCTCCCTAACACTAGGTATTTGATGCTAAATACTCCGTAATAGTACTCCGTATGAAGGGGAACTTTTGCCCAGACAACAGCCCTTAATGGGAGCCAGCCTCACCCACGGATCCGTGATCCTAGAAACATGTCCCTGGACAAACAGCCTTTGGTGGTAGCCAAGCTCGCTCCCTAACAGTATTGATGCACTATAACAGCATGGATCTGTGTTTGATCCAAGGCCCTTCTCCCCCGACAATCCCAGGGTCCAAGGTGGGGCCAGCATCAGTATTGGTAGCCCAAAAATCGCACCAGACTGTTCAACAGACGGTGCTCGAGTATGCTCGCCATGCGCCAGCATACTGTAAGCAACAGTATGATGGAGCGGCATCATTTCCTGGCGACAGAACATTGAAAAGGAAACTCGGCACGTTTGGAACGTATTACAGTGTCCTTGTTTACACGCACAGTGCTTGTCAGCACGAGCTTAAAGACTCAAATGCCGTCGGGAGAGCATGTAGCACCGCCGCCCAATACTCAAAGGCTTCAAGCCATCCCAGATAGCCGCTACTTTTACCGGGCATGTGTCCGCCTTTACCAACAGCTCCTTGTTTTGCCCGGGCTTGAAAATAAAAGCCCGTGTGTTCACGCGGCCTTAATTACTAGAATGCTATTACGCTCTGATTAGTAAAAATGTTTTGGAAGAAAAGCCCTGCTCACCTCAAGTTCACATTAAAGCCCTTTGACCTAAAAGTGGCCTCATGTGCCGATGCCAAGGCCTATTAAACACTGGGAAACAAAGCAAGCCGCCCCACTTGACAGCACCTGAACCCTGGAAGCTCCTGGAGCTCCTCCGACTCCGGGGTCCGCTGGCGCCCGATGTCTCCGAACCATGACATCGCGAGTGATTTCACCACCACCATTGTCTTCCTTTTCCCACAATAACCTCGTTGCATCTACTTCTTCTTATCAAACTTGCGACCCAAGTCTTTGCGCCCGATGGGTTGAGAGACAGAGAGACACACAGCGTCCAGCTTATCTATCCTTGAACAGTTTCCTCGGCCCACGACCGATCTCGTCGACCTCGATGTCCCGAAGAATGAAGCCCGCAGCGTCCTTTATATAACCCCCCGGTCGTCGCCTTTCCTCTCTCAAACAACTGGCCGCATTTGTCCCTCTTCATCCTCATCCTCCTCTGCTCCTTTATCCCCCCAGCCATCCGTCCCTCCCGGCACCCAAGCGTCATGATAGCCCGCGAGACAACCCAGATGCCGCTCGAGGTGGCCGTCTTCTCAGGCGAATCGGCCCTCAAGGCCCAAAGCCAAGGCGCCTCCCGCGTCGAGCTCAACGCCCCCGGGTCGTACCCTCTCGGCGGCACCACGCCCCCCGTCGCCGAGCTCAAGAGGATCGCGGCAAAGATCACAGTCCCCGTGCGCATCATGATCCGTCCCCGCGGCGCCCCCGGCGACGGGTCCCCCGACTTCGTATACACGGCCCAAGAGGTCGCCGCCATGGCCCAGTCGATACGGGACTTCAAGGCCACGGGGCTCCTCAACCCCTTCCGCGGCGACGGCTTCGTCTTCGGCCTCTTGCAGCCCACGGCCGCCGAGGACCCCGTCTCCGGGGAGCCAGACGTCGTCCAGATCGACCGGCAGTCGTGCCGGACGCTCCTCGACGCCGCCAAGCCCTTTGGGTGCGTGTTCCACCGCGCCTTCGACCCCATCGCCGCTACTAGGCGCATCGGCGACGGCATCGAGACGCTCACCCGGCTGGGCTTCGAGGGCCTCCTCACCGCCGGCGGCCGCGGGCCCTGCGCCGACAACGTCGACCGCCTCGACCACGAGCGCCACAAGCAGGCCGGGCGGATACAGTTCGTCCTGGGCGGCGGCCTGCGCACGTCCAATGTCCGGGACGTGGCGGAGCGCTTCAGCACCTACGAGGAGGGCAGCGTGTGGATGCACACCGCCGCGCTGAGCAGCCGTCCCGACCATCCTCCCGAGGAAATCGACTCCAACGAGCTGATTGGCATTCTGGCAAGCTTGGATTCCGTCTCGGTGCGGTAGAGAAGCACTGAGATGCCTACCGGGTATGCAATAGCGGGTGAGTTTTGCTACTCTCCCCCCTTGTTTTAAATCCCCCTCTTCTTCTTTTCCACTGGACCTGAATACAGTATTGGGCGTGAAAAGTTGACAAAATGTGTGTAGGAGAATGAAATGTGGTCACAGCTTCATGCGGGTCGTGACGGTTTTTTGGGGGGCCAGGATTTTGATATCGGGAATTGTAGTTTGTGAAAAGTCATTTTCGACACCGGTCTTGTAGCAAAGTGCAATATGGCTGAGGGAAAAAAAGTGATTCGATTTTAAGGATTGGTAAAAGAAAAGGAAGTATTTATAGACGCTCTCCTCCTTTCACTCCGTGTATTTCAGGGGCTATGAGTAGAAAGCTAGAACGTTACGGCAAGACATGACATATTTTGCGGTTGTGGGCGGGCCCGCACGGCTAATATCAACACTTCTTTTAACAACTCACGTACATCTTGTTTCGACTAGGCAATCAGTTCTGTCTCTTTCGACTACTCTACACCATATATGCTATGTACTAATCTACAACTTCTCATCACGTCATTAAGTCTATCTCCTAACCCGCCATTTCCCCCACATCAAGCACGTTACTGCTTCTTGGGCTCCTTGCCTTCAGTATTTCGGCGCGCCAGGCCTAAACACGTAGCCATCTTGTAGAAGATGTCCACGTTGTTGTAGGTGCCTCCAAAGGTCTCCTGGCATGGGCCCATGGCAAACACAGGCACATCAGTTAGCGAGTGAACACCCTGAGCCTCGTCGGTCGGCAGAGTGCCGTTGATGACAAAACCGTTAGGCGAATCCTTGGCATTGACAATGTAACTGCCATCGGCGCCCTTAACAGCAGGCTCACGGGGACCGCTCTTGTGGACCTTGTAGTCCTCACGGTGGTCGGGGGCAGCGCCGACACCACCGGCGATGGCGTACCGAGGCTCCCAGTTTGAGGGGAAGTTGACGCCGGTGCCATACTGGATATTCTTGTTCTTCTCGGTGTATTGGGAGAGACCGGATTTTTCGTAGACGCCGATGGCGTCGCGCTTCTTGCGCTCATCGTCGTTCTTGGCAATGTATTCGGTATCAGCCGATCCCCAGACACTAAAAATCGTTGTTAGGGATTTAACACTCAGCATAGGCGTCGGACAGTGGAGGTGCGGGAACTTACTCGAATCCGTGGCCGTGGTCAGCAGAAACCACAACCAGTGTCTCATCGAGAACCTTCAGCTCTTTGAGCTTCTTGATGGTCTCACGGACAGTGTCGTCAAGTTCAAGGAGATCACCGAGGGCACGGTCGTAATCAAGGGCGTGCATCTGTTTGTCGACAGAGGCAGCCTCGGACATGAGGAAGAAGCCCTTGTCACCACCACGCTTGTGGAGAACCTCAACAGCCTTGAGAGTCATCTCTTTCAAGCCGGGGAGATCAAGGGCAGAGTCATTTCCGCCCTTGGGGTTGTTTTTGAAGTTCTTTAGGTTGTCCTTGTAAACATTACGGTCCAGCCAGACGGGCAAGTTGCTCTGGCAGAAGACACCCAGGGCCTTCTTGCTGGTGTCAATCTTCTCCAGGGAGGTCTTGTTCAAGCTGACAGAGTATCCCTTTTTTGAAAACTCCTCATAGTAGTCCTTGCCCTTGTAACTGCCCTTGCCGGCGTAGAACTGCTCGGCACCGGCACCGAAGAAGACGTCAGGGCCGTCATGGTTAGTCCAGCTGTAGTTGGTCAGGCCGTTAAGAGCCTGGTCGATAAGAGGACCGTACTCAGAGCGGCGGCGGGTGTGGCCGGTGAGAGCAATGGGAGTGGCATCAGCCAAGAACGCCGTGGAGACGGCACCCCAAGCACCTTTCTGCATTCATAGTATTAGTAAGGAATTCAGAATCTAGTTACTAGTTGAGCATACGGTAATTCGGCGGAAGATCTCAACAATGGTCTCAACCTTGGGGTCATCGAAAGGGTCGGGAGACGAATCAGCGTGGACTCTACAGGCCTGTTAGCCGGGTATCACAACAAACAGACCACACACGATTTGCATACCCCATGGCATTGACAGTGCTCTTGTGACCAGAGTATAGAGCAGAAGCTGAGTTGGCAGAGTCGGTGATATAGCTGTCAATCGAGTGAGTCATCTGGTGGCCAAGAACAGGAAACTCGTCCATCTGCATGCGAGTCTGGTATTTGCCGTTGATGCTCTTGTGCCCAAGAAGACGGGCAGCGGTGATCTAATCGTGTTAAGTCTAAATTACATCGCGACCGTAGTTCGACCACGGATGTCAGTGTTTCGGGGATGCTTACCATGTTGGTGGTCATGCCGTCACCAATGAAGAAGATGATATTCTTGGCCTTGCGTTTCTCGTCAATAGGACGAACGACCCATTCAGCCGTTGTCTTCTCGCCCCCATAGTACTGTAGAGTCACGGTGTACTTGCCGGGCTCGTTCAGAGAGAGCTTGCGATAAGCTTTGGAGGCAACGTTGACAACTGATGGAGTCTTCTTGTCCTCGGCAAAGAGATCCTCGTACCACTTGAAAGTCCACTTCTCCACCTCGGGCTCCTTCACTCCGAAGAAGTTGGTGATATCCTTGGCCTCCTTGCCATCCTTTGCAATAGTCACCTTGAATTTCTCATCAGGCTTGCCGTCGTGAGCAGCCTCAGAGCCATTGACGGGGGCGTGAACCTCAACTCTCAGGTCAAAAAGCTGACCAGGGAGAAAATCACTCTGGTCGGGTGGCAGAAGACACCCCAGAGTTGGGCACGTTCCAAGACGCTGGTAGGTCTGGGCTGAGACAACTGAGAGCGAAGCTGCCAGAACAGCAGCGACGTTGAGCTTTGCAAGCATGATTGCGGTAGTCCTCGTTGATATTAGTATAACGAAGAATAGGCAATTGGCTTTTCGAGCAAGCTTAGCAGAGGGAAAGAAAGAAGGAATGGGTGACGAGTTCGGGCGCGGTTTGCGACGTGCTTATATGTCTCGTGGTAATTTCTTTGCGACCTGCGAAAGCTGCAGACCGGCGCATGCAAAAGGCCCTAATCCATGGACCGGAAGCTACCGCCTTGGATGGCGTCACTAGGGCCGGACGCTACATAGCGGTTATCAAGCTGTGAGAATCCAGCTTCGACCGGGATGTATCTTGTCAAGCCATCCGAGCCAGCACTGCCCTTTCTTGACGGGCACCCCCAGAACTAACTGCCTGTAGTGGAGAAATATTGACACTCCGGTTCGAGCAATCCCGGGAAAAAAGATAGAAGCGATGTTACCGTGAGCCCTTCACCTTCAGGAACAAGGGCACGTGTCGGCGCCACTCTTGGTGACAACAGGCTTATCCTATGTCAACAGAGATGGTCGAAGAGCTGCTGGAGATGAAGGACCAACTCGGATAGCGGATGGTGTGGGTAAGCCCACGTTGGTACTCCGTACTCCACAGATATGTGCGGAGAATGTAGTTACAGACTTTTGGTACGCAGCTTGATTCCGGGAGAGGTTAGTTTTGTGTAGCAAGAGCGCGGGACACCGAGTCTAGAAGAACTATGAGCAGTAGTGTCAGTGCTATTGAGCAAGGCGAATTTTGATCTGGAGTATCACCACCTAGTGCAACCGCACATCTTCACCACTTACTTGCCTGATGTAGCCCTCTCGAGAAGCACTACTCCGTAGAGCGGCTGCACGCCACTTCCCTACATTAAGCTTATCCCAGTTAAAGCGCGGCCACGGGGCGCCAGCCACTACCACGAACCATCGGGAGCGTTTCCTCGTGCCCAGATCGAAAGCCATCATTGGCGATGTGGAGGAACAGGGATCCATGGTCTGTCAAGGTTCTTTTTAATGTTGTTTTCCATGCAACGGCACGGCGTGGGAAAAAGTACGGAGTACTCCGTAGGCTGTGGAATCTGATGCCAGACGGGGGCCAAGAGAGCAGAGCATGCTGCAGAAGCTATCGATTCAAAAATAAATGTTCCAGTTGGACTGAAAATTTTGGTCGGATGATTTGCAGCGACATTGGCTCTCGACCCTCAGCTGCCATTTGGATCCAAATGGTGCAGCCATGTCGTTCCTTCCACTTCAGCATCAAACGCATACAATTAAACTGCGCAACCGGAAAGGCATCCGCCTCTTGGCAAGTGGGGTCTGGAAAACCGTATTCTCGAGGAAAATGAAATCTTTCAACCCGTTCAATGGCAGCGACTTGACACGTGGGGATCGATGATGCGTAAGACACACAGCTCTTCGCTTTGTTGGCTCAAGCTTGTTGGCCACTGTCCAAACTTGGAGCAGCAGATATTATGTCTTCCGTTCGCTGTACATAATGTCAACCGGGGGTATCCATTCAGCTTCCCAACCTCATGCGCTTCGAAGCGGACCTACTTCCAATAATCCCTCGGGGTATTTGGCGGGGGTTAGCACGTTGACACGCACGTTTTACCCGATTGCTCACCGAGTTGGCTGGGTTGTCATCCCATGCACAGGCAACCTGACCGAGGCGATTTGCAGAGAGCCCACCGACTTGTGAGTCTAGATTCCTATAATGGGAGGCCAAAGTACTAAGGTGTTAACCAGAGCAAGTACATGGATATCGCGCTCTATGCCATAGTATAAGTCACCAACTACAGTATAAGCGCATACTTGTCATTGACCAAACATATTCTGCTGCGAACTGTAGTGCTACGCTGCGGACAAGATTCGACTTGACGACGGACTGGGATACCGCGAAAGGAGACTCAGTAGCTTCGTACCTTGGAAATTCCCCGGACATGTAACCACGTGTGTGGTACCCGCCATCTTCCATGGCGTGCCATTGATTGCGGCAATTTATGCTTCCCTATTATTTCCGGACTATCGCAGGAGCCTGTGTGCTTCTCATGTCTCCTTCGTCAAAACTGGCAATAATATTTGTCCATGATACGCTGTTGTTTCTTCGTCTTCTCGTCTATATGGTCTATATTTTCCCATTGGCTACGTTTTCTACAACATGTCCATTCGCTTTTCTGTCCATGTCCATCC